GTTTACTGTCTATAAACTATTTACGCCGGTTTACGGGGGTAGTCGTAAATAATCATAAACGTAAACAGTAAATAAACTAAATAGTTGGAGCCTTAATATGTTATATCGTGAATCATGAAATTATCGCTCCCTCATGGAAATAATTTCTTGCACAGAGCTACCATCGAAGCAGGGAGCTGGGGCGCTCCGAGTCGCGCAGCAGTGACGATCGCGGCGCTAGAAGATCTTGCCATCTACACACCCTCATGTCCTTACAGCTGCCTTCCGTAAGAACTGCAGCTCGCTGCTATATTCCTAGCAATATAGTGAACTGCCTATTGGTCAACGAGGCCACATTGGTACGAGTATCTACACACCCAGAGACAGAGCCTTCTCCTAGTGCCGACACCGTCAGATTGGCGAAAATACCATCCTGAGTGGTGGTCCTCTTCAGAAGTATAGTGTAAGCGTCCTATCTGCCCTATTGTTTACAATATTATGCTAATGGACATTTGGCGGTACAGTGGTGACAATTCTTCGATGTACGACGATGACGGTTCAAACTCAACTTCCATCAGTTGAACTGCTCAGTATAAATATATCAGCTCAATTACACTACGAGGATTGGCGGACATCATGAGAGGCCCCTCTCTGTGGCAAGATTTATTTAGATGCATGTAGTCGAGTGTCTCGTTCGTGGAACGCAGTCGCTCGCCTACACCTATTCCGCGACGACATTTTTCGTTTCGCGCTGAACCGTTGAATAGTGGAATCGGAGCATCTGAATACACCTATACCAGTTCAAGACGCCTTTGCTTCGCTGTCAAAGAATACTTAAAGCACGTTCTAAGACCTTGCGGATGCTGCACACATTTTTGTATCTCTCTCTCTCATTATTCATACCAATATACGTCGGCTTAGGCTGGATGGATGGGGATTATGCCACTCCGACTACATCTTGTATTCGAAGAAACACTGCTGTACCGACGCAAACACCTTCATCACTCTCATTTGTTTACCTTAGGTGCGTGTCCTAGAGCTGGCCAACTTCGGCGTAGTAGTCGTGACTCCTAGTACCCGGGGCTTGCTTTTGAGTACAGTGGTTTCACAATTCCGGCATCCACTAGGTCTGCCACCATGCCGAGCACAATATCGAGCGAAAGAAGTCTACTTATAATGCCTTTGGCGCGACTAGCCACAATATTCGATTGAAATGATGAATGGACACTGCTTCTTTCTTCGACAAGCAAAGCCAATTGCAGCGGCGCTTCACCAGTCTATTCTAGCATGAACATTTCACGCTGGCAGAAATTGACTTTTCCTGTGTCACCCATTTAGACTGCATGTCGCAAGTCCGTTTACTCAAAATCTGAAGAAAAAAAGGCAGAAAGAACAAGAATATGAATACAATAAAACTGGTATTCAATATCATCCGCCTATTTGAGTGCCACAGAGCTAGAGACATTTTATGGAGCACGGCGCCCGACACCCGAAGCGGTGCCCATTGTCATGGAAGCAGATAGACTTCAGCCACTCAAAGTGAGTTATGTATCATATTATCTTTCGTGGACGACTACTTCCTACTAGACCGGTCCGACCTCCGCACCAAGCTTCATGAGTCCATCGCGCCTTCGGACACGACGCGTCGTGTATTGCTGTGTATACCGGGTCGTTGGATCACGCCAGTCAAACCAGGAACGGGAAGTCTATCATTATAACGTTGTGGAAGGCGGATGCGCGCGAGCCGAGCTTAGGCTTTTTTGCTTCGCCTCTTGGACGCGGGCACACGAAGCCCGCTCGTTCGCTTCTCTTGGAGTCAAAGCCATCTTCTCCACGAATGCGGAGTTCCGGCCCTGAGGGGCGCGGGAAGACGACGAACGATGGCAGGTCCGAAGGGCAGATCTGGCTATGTGGGATGTCCCAGGAGTCGTCGGGGCGGATGGACGTCGGACGGCTGTAAGTCGATCTTCCGCAGATGTAAGCTCAAAATGAGAAATACCGGTGGTGACGTCGTGCTGAAAGGCACACTGCTTGTGTGGACCGATAAATGGCCTGCAGTGAAGTCATCGCAATTTAGAAAAGCGGACAGATAGATCGTCACGGACGATCAACTCGAATTCATGGGAAGAAAATGCATCTCCGTGGACGGAAACAGCCAAAGAGGTCCGCATGAGTGACGCTGCCCCCAGAGTAAAGAAGTCTCTTGACGTACAATCCTTCGCGGAACGTGTATCCAATCGTATTCTTCTGGCTGAACTTTCGGAATAGCTGAGTTCGATGATGGTCGGTCCGACTACGCGATATACCAGGTCCGTCGAGATCACAGTCCATGCAACCGCGTTTTCCAGCAACGTGCCTACACATATTCTCGACTTGCGATATTTTGGGCGGAAGCGACGCTCGCACATGGTATTTGAGGCAGTTGATCGATTTTGGCCTGTGCGGTAATCCGAAGTACGACCTTTCTGGCTGCAGTTCGGACCGAAGGGGATGTAAGGTGAGTTCCATCGCTCCGGCCAGTGGAAAATGACTTGGACATACCCCGTATAGTAAGGGTAGCAGGAACTCGACCCTTCACAGGTCTAGATAGTCTAGGTGGTGGAGGACCGCAGTCGAGGTCTCGAGTGCCTTCGGCCCTAGAAAAATGCTGTAATAAAATCGCTCACTAAGTATGCGGAAAGGATCCCAGAGTGTCGCATGCGTCACTAGGAGTGACTACGTTCAGAGTATCACCTGTCTGAAAAGAATGTTCTATGAACTTGCAATGACTCACTGAGTCTGAACGTCGCAGATACCCGAGAGCGACCTGACGTACGACTGAACTCTGAGTTAACTAGTATTGTGAGTAGCATAATAGAAATGAGAAGGCTGTTGACGTACGGCACGCGCTGGCTATTACGCACAAGGCAATCGCGATTGATGGAGAATAACGTTAGGTGTTGAACTTGAAGCTTGAGGAACCAGTTCTCTCGCGGCCTCGGACATACTTGAAGTGCGCAATCAAGAATATAAGCGGTGCGCGATAGTATGATGAGCCCTTGACAGAAGACGGAAATGCGACAAACACAAACCACCGGAAGCTTTGTATGTCCGCGGTCTGGTAAGTTCGGGGGTTACAGTTCCTCTGTTACGTTACCTACACAGCAAAGAAGCAAGACAGCTCGAGTCAAAAATTACCTATTCGATCCTGCCAGCGTCCCACGGCGACGACACAAGGCAGAAAGAAGGGGTCACGCGCAACAAGTACGTGGACACTTCACCTCGTCTTCGGGGTTCGCAGCCCACGCTTGATAGTTGGAAGTCCTCGCAAACGTACAGGACCCTAGTCGTAAATCAACCTCTACCGACCCGTGCTTCTGCGGAAATAAATACTTACTACGTACGCCCGAGCACCTTCGCGCCTCAGGTGGTCGCCCGTGCACCCCAAAAGGCGGCACTCGGGATGGGCAGCTGGCCGTCTGCGGTGCCCGTCTATACAGCTGCCGACAGAGTGACCGTTCCTGGCCTGTTCGGGTCTTCCGGCGCGAGCGGCCTGGCGCGCTGAAGTAAGGTCTGCGAGCTCTTTGGGTGTTGGGCTAGCTTGTTTTGGTTGCAACCAGCCTGCGAGGAAGGGGCTAAAGAGGGTCTTGGTGTGATGTTTATGGGTAGGTATATTCAGAGATCGCTGCTCGTGGGCAGGCTAATATTGGCGCAGCTTGGCGATACACGTACGAGTTCGTGTTCGTGTAAATTGGCCGGCCACCGCCTTGATTGCTGCCCGAAAGGGAGTAGGTGTTTCCCGGTCAGCGCAGCAGGATCTTGCCGTGACCTGTACTATTGGCAAAGTGGTCAGTTCTCTTCTTTCACAAATCGTGAATGCCCCTGGTTAGGCTAATATCGACGAACGTTGACGATACGCGTACCAGTTGACACCGCCTTAATTGCAACCCGAAAGGGGGTGTGTGTCCCCCTACTCAGCGCCGCAGGATCTTGCCGGCATGACTTGTCCTATTGGCAAAATAGCAAGTTCCCTTCCTACCGCTGCTTCGAGTAGGTTTCATGCACCGAATACTCACGATTTGTCAATCACGAGCCGAAGCGAACAGCTAAATGCAATAAATATGAATAAGTTTCGGGGTTGCGTTCTCATGTTTGCAACGGTCATGGGAAACACGATGAAAAGTAACACCGGCACCACCAGAAATTAAGCCGACAATTCGAACAAACCAGGTCGAAGACCTCAGAGATTTGCACCGACTCACCGCCAGCGCAAATCCTACGCCCGCTCCACCTCGTCGGCTCCCCCCAACCGCCCGATCGAGCAAAATGAACTGCAAATCGAGCGCCGCCCCCACCCACGACCCGAGCCTTCTCGCTTTCCACGCCCGCACCGCGCCCAAGATTCGCAGAAGCACGCGGCTGACGGCACGGCGTGCTGCAGCAGACGAAGCGGGCCCGGGGCAGAGGCACGCCCGTCCGGCACGCCCCCGCGCCTGCCGCCGTGCGCGTCGTCTGCGCTTGTTGGTCCGTGTATACTGCCCCCGACGGGCACTTGGTAGTTCGGCGGCTTCGGGACGTGGCCCCCCGCCTCCGCCGCGGACGCCGGCGAGCTGAGATGGTCTGTTCGGCTGAGAGCAGGGCAGGCGGGTCGGGCG